CAAAGCCAACAGTTATACTGAGGTTCACTGACCTCATGAAAATACATGGAAACATGAGAACAAAGCTATATTGCAAAAATGTCCAAAGTAACCCTAAAAGCTGGCTCATGGCACTGTTACATAGGTGGGTTTTTTTTTTTGTCTTTAAACGTTAGCTCTTGTATTGATTCAAGAGATGAAAACTCTAAGTGTAGAAGTAAAAGAACTATGTTACATAAAGGGATGTTTTGGTTTGCTTCTAGAGGAGAGTGCAATGAAAATAAGTTATTTGTTGGCATTTGAAAAAATGTGTTCAAAGTTTTACCTCTTTCACTGCACTGATAGGCAGATCTCTCATAACTGGTTTAAACAATTTTTTACATACCATGTACAATTGGGAAGTTTCTAATATGTAATGCTATGAATTTTGAGGAAGGTAAATGGAGTATGTAGGACTGCACTTGAAGTGATGTTCTCTGTTGGTATACTGCCTATTAATTTATCTTGTGAAGATACTGGCATAACTTTATACTGCTTTGGAAGTTATTCAACGTTTTAAACCACACAAGACTGAAGAACACATACGTTTTGAACTCAACAAAATGAGACAAGAGTGAAGAGTTTACATACACACACACATGCAGTTCTACACAGTTCACTTGTGCCTTGAGGGATAGTATTATTATCACTATTATTAATAATAAAAAACACAATTTGTCCCAGTAGTACTGGCCACCCTGTTTGAAGAGTTTTAGAAGATCCCTGAGCACATCGTTTCTGACTCTTAACCCCAACTCCAAAGTGATAGGGCTTCTATTGTTGATATCAAGATGGATTGTCATTCACAGTAAGTCAATCATAAGGTGCTTATTTACCCTTTTTTTTTCACCAATCAGCACAAAGAACTGTCAGAAAATAACTTTTTATTATTATTATCTTAAAATAATAGCACTGGAAGGACACATGATTTAAACAATCAATGTTTGAAAACAGTGGCTTTAGGATTATTATCTGGCTGCCCCTCAACAATAACAAGTGATTCAATCGACATTCCTTAGCCAAAAACAAAAGGCAAAACAAAAACAAAAACAAAAAAAAAACCCCAAAACCAAAAACAAAAACCAAAAAACCAAAACTGTACAAATATGTATTTTTTCCCTGAGGGATCAAGGTACACCCGCAAGTGCTCTATGTACATATTGCACTAGAGAGGAATGAAGAACATGTGCAAAAAAGCAACAATGAGAGAAGCTTACATCCTACTTAAACCTTTTCAATAAAGATTCTACTAGGTTGTTTTGCATTTTGGAATGTCGGAACACAAACAGCTATTCCTTAGTCTAAAACTAAAAACACATATTTCTACTATGGCACATTCAATGAAATAAAAAGTTTTCCAAAGACAGATAGACAAATTCCATCAAGAAAATAATACAAAGTTTGTTTGTTTGTATTTTTTTTTTTAGAAAATTACATTACTTTCTTTCTTTGTTTCACATTACAAAATCTTTTTTTTTTCTTTACACAAATCACATTTTATTGCAGGAATATTTCAAGTGCCATCAAATATTTATAGAAGGGTTAAAAAAATAGAAGTCTCTCTAAAGTGGTCCAGACAAGGCTTTGTATAGAATAAATCTTTTTTTTCCCCCATCTTCTAGTTTTGATTTAAGTATTTTGAATACATTTTCTTTTCCATTGACACTTAGTAGCCTAGAAGCGGTCCGACACACACACATCATACACACGAAAACCACACACACACACACACACACACACACACACACACTCTCTCTCTCTCTCTCTCTCTCTCTCTCTCTCCCTTCTCACCTGGCCCTCAGCCCACCCCCCCTACGCTCACAGAGATCTGGGTATCCACACTATAAAGAACAACCAAACTTAGAAGCAGTGTCTTAAGTTATATTTTCCTTAAGTTAGGAAGGGTGAATTAGGATGCTGAAGACTTTTTAAAAAATCCATAGCTTTAACGCAAATTAGGATGCTGAACACTTAAAAAAAATCCGTAGCTTTAACACAATTTGCAAACTGTCCAAAAAAGCACTTTCATCTGCACTTTTGTTTTCATTGTGACCAAGGCCAGGTTCTTCAGAATATAATGCAACCATCTGACACCATTGTAACCAAAGGTATTCAGGCTTTGTACAAAAAGCCTTATGTACCCTCTATGAAAAAACTGTATTAAAGGCATCATAGGAGCTGGGATAACAATGATGTGATTCCAATCTTTAAAAGACTACTGGATATTTAAGTTTAGGAAACTTTAATTATTAGAACTCTTAACAATCACTGTTCTGTATCACCAAGTAGTTGTGTCCTCACACAGGTGTTTCTATAAGAAGAAAATAAAGATGCAGAGTTTTTCACATCCTTTTCTATACTTCATTTTTTTAAACTGAATTTATTGTTTAACTTCCGATCCCAACTTTGATCCAAATCCTAGTTGTTCCCTCTGTTCACCGAGCACGCCTCTCCTGCTCTGTCCCTACACTGCCGATGTATTTTGCTCTTTCTCACCTTGCTTTTCTTTCAGAAAGACCTGGTAGCAGCATCATGTCAATGTATGTTGGTTTATTCTAAAAGCAATGTCACCATGGTGTGACGACTACTGAGATTAAGCATCTTTTTTTGCATTTGGTACATGCAGAGTCTTTTCTGGGAAAAGGAATTTCTTTTAAGCTCAACATTATGCTCTCTCTCACCCTTAGAGAATTTCAGTTAGCTCTTAATCACTTCACAAACGGACACTGGAATTAGGTTTAGTTGCTCTTTAATGCGCTAGCACCTGAGGCTGGTCATATTCAGAAAGCTTTGGTTAAAAAGAAGTTAATACACTTTAATAAAACCATCCCCAAATTTAGTGACTCAGAATGACAAAAAACAAAAAACAACCGCCCCCCCCCCCAAAAAAACCCAACACATTACCCCCCCCCCAGGAGAAACAACAGGAAAAATAAATGGACAAATAAATAACTGAACTAAGCTTGGTACTCTTTTCAGAGTATAAATACTATTGATCTTTAAAGGAACTATGCTTATTTAAATTAAAATTTTGATTTCACCCTTCTTGCTCAAATATAAATACTATATGTTTAGTTTACCTCTCTATATAAACACTCACATAAAGTTTAATATACTTGCAAGAAATTTAAGTAGATATTACTCTCGTCTTCTATTCATGGTTAAACCCTTACTATACTTTTGAAAAAAAAATTAAGATGTTATTTAGGCTTCATACACACTTCTCTGTGAATAATTCCTTCCTCTTTTCCAAATCCCTCCAGAAACAAGTCAGAAAATCAGTTGGGGTTAAACCCAGAGTAAATGGCTCTGGGACGCCCCTGAGGTGATCCACATGACATTAGGAGCCACAGTTCCTAGGGAAGATTCAGGAAGAGCCTGGGGGTAGAGACATTTTTTTGGCTATAAAGGGCTGTCTGGAAACTCCCACCATTATGCTATGGGATATTCCCTTTTCTGTATAACCATGGTCCTTCGTGTCAGACCAGAAGTTTGAATCCCACCCGACTGACTAAAATCATCTTCTAAATGCTGACATTTCCAAAGGGCACTTATTTTAAAAATATGCACACTTGTATATCAGACTGTTCATTTTCCCTTCCCCCACTGGGAATTATTAAAATTAAAAAAAATGAAATTAAACAAAAACATTCAATATTTCTCATCTGAACACAAAAGCCAAACATTCTTCTAAATATTTAATAAAATAAATTACAGTCCACAGTTTTCTAGTGAAGATAAATATAAGAGTAAATGTTTGCGGCTAGCATCAACTTCACTTTGAATGCTTAAAATATTTAATATTTAAATAAGAGAAACCGGTTCAGTGTTGCATAACTCCCTCGCCCTTCTGTCCATTGTCTGTGAAATATGGAGAGCTATATTCTAGAATTATAGCGTCTAGAGGCAGCTAGTCTAGAGCTAGGTTACTCTGAGATACACTCTTAGGGTTCCTAGATTAGACCAAGAACATAGGCATTCACAAAGTAAATGTTTCATGTCCTCACATGGGGAGTGTGTGTTTGCTCCAGATATAATCTTTGGGTCCTTCTTATAATAAAAGCTGAATTCCAATAAATATTTGGGTTACTGATTTATCCTCAAAGCATAAGAATTCCAAGTTGAGACTGAGTCCGTATAACTACTGAATTGTATGAAATGAGCCTCCCCTCCCTCCCCTGCCTCCATGAGGTGGCACTTAAATAACGTGCATGATGGTATAAGTCCATAGCACCAATCGACCATTCAACTTTGTATGAAGCATAAACACATCTATCCTTGAGCTTACCAAAAAGCAAAGTATAATTTAGGGAGAGTTCCGTTTCTAATACCAAATGAAGTGTAAAAAAACAAAACAAAAACAAACCAATAATCCGCATCATGATTTCTAGATATGACCAGCCAGTCTTTTCAAAGTAATTTGTAAACAGCAGCATAAATACCTCCTGACGTACCTTCCAAGCCTTCTCAGTTAAACTTGTGTTTCTGGTGCACATGCGACACGACAGTGAACACGCTAGCATTTCATTTAAAGAAAAAGGTGCAAAATGAAAGTGCCTTATCAATTCAACAGGAAAAGCTACACCAGTAACTACATTTTATATTAATTAAAACAATATATAAACAATATCTCTTTTAGCTATATATAGTCTTCATGCCCATTTACCCTGTAATATATTATAATGCTATCGTTGCTAGTGCTATGGACCCTTTTCATGCCATCCTGCTGACTGGCAATAATCGGTGAAAAAAATAAAAACTTCCTTCATGAAACAAAGAGCAGGTTGTGCAAAGTCATGCCGCCACCTCCGCTATGCACACCGGGCACCGATTATTGCCGGACTCTCTGTTGTTACCGACAGATTGGTGACTCTGCAGAAAGTCTGTGGGCAGTGAGCTACAAGAAAAGGAAATCCTCCGACTTTAGTACCCTCCTTCAGTTGTAAACAGAGGTCAATGATCAAGAAGTTGAGACAGAAAAAGGGTCCATATCTGTAGGCATAATGGAAATCATATGCATGAGAAAAACAAGTTCAACTTTTATTTGTTTTCATTGTTTCCCCTCCTTTGCCTGACCCCGATCACCAAAAGATGTGCAGTGTGTTGGCGCTCCAGGTCTGTGCAGGGCCATATAAAGTGTCTCGGTTAATTTTTTTGTTGTTGTTTTTCATGGTTTATACTTCAGACATTCTAGAAGTGCTTAGGTGATACATTTACCCATCAATTTGCATTGCTGGCTCAAATTCTGAAGTGAACAACTCCTTGTATAATGGAGGAAAATGAAGTCGTACAATGTCTGGGTATATTGCTTTAAATGCCATTAGCTTTTCTGTATGTCGTCCACATAAGGCTCTTAATGTAGACACCTTGCATATTAACTGTAAGTGGAAGAAAGGACACATTGTGAGGAAAGAACAGACATGAACATCAAAAATCGGGGAATCTGGATGATCTTTACAACATTGTTTACAAAGGTGAAACACACTCGAAGCAGCTTATATGATCTTCCAAGAAGGAAGATTGGTAAAGACAAATTTTAGGCATGTCATAGAATACCAGGTATACATTAAATACTATTTTGAAGACAAATAATACAATAACCTGAAAAGATGTTCATGAGCAAAAGTGGCAGAGTTGAGATAAGAACCCAAGCCTGTCACCTCCTTCTCCTATTTCAAACATACTTTCTGCTCTCCCATCCCCAAACCTGTCCTCCACCGCTGTGGACAAAGAAGATGTCGGGTGACAGAGAAGAGAACAAGGAGGCAATCATGGGCAGGTGAGGTCACTGCAAATGGAGATGATGGCGTCCCCTACATATTTTATGCAGAACCTGTACTAGCCAACTCCAATGACAACAAGTTTCTTTCTGGAAAGACCTTTGCTTGGACAAACCAATTCTGGGTCTGTGTAAAAGGCTCAGAAGAAAGAATAGTCAGAAGGCCTGGAGGAAAGTCTCAGCATCAACCATTTAGCAGTTGAAGACAATAACAACTTGAAACAATGCTTTTTAAAGTCCAAAACACTGTACAAACGATGTATTATTTCAACCAGAATAATCCTAAGAAACATATGTGACAGATCTTGCCATGTGTTAGGTGCTCGCTATAATGAAAGAACCTAATTGTATCCTTGCACTGGGGCAAGATGGAGAAGAAAGTAAGGGTCTGGAGGGTTCTTCTATTTTCCATTCCTGCCTCCATCTCTCATTGAACGGGTGCAAAATAAAAACAAAACAGCAACTAACCCTCAACTTCCTCTCTCTGACCTAACTTAGCTATCAGAAGAAAAGAAAAGAAAGCAGAAGAAACCCAAACCCCTCAAATCAATCTTCTTGAACAACTAAAATAGTTTTAGAAAGAATACGGCTGATTTTTCGAAGACCGAATACATACTACTAGCGCAAGCACTGAAGAATATTAGCATATTTTAAATTGACATCCTAATTATATTTTTATTGCAAAAAGTAATAATTAGCAAAAATGAAGCCTTATGCTTTGAATACAGGGTAGTAATGGGAAATAGATGAAGAAAATACAAAAGTCACTTTCTGTTGATTACTAATGAATGGAATGGAAATAGAACTAATATTAGAATATGTGATTATCCTGCTTGTTTTAGTCCTTTATAACTTCCTCCTTCTAAATTCAAAGATTCTTTCTCTAATTTATATCGATGTAGAACATTAACTCAGCTTTATGCACAACTTAGATGGAATAGGAGGAGGATTTCCAGAATGTATTAATGCTTAAAAAATTTTTTTTCTACCATTGCCCTATTATTGCAGGACACTTCACAACCAATGATTGTAAGTAGAACTTAAGCTGAATTTTGGCCCAACCAAGTTTTTTGAAATGGAGATATTTCTTTCTTTTCAGTAGCCTATTGCTTATGGGTACTTCCGGGGGCTGGTAAGATGACTTTTAAGGGTGGCTGGCAGCAGGAACTGTGGCAAGGGATAGTTCAGGCTATGCCAACCACACGACCTTTCCCTCTTACCTTTGTTAGTATTCCATCTTCTCGGTGATTCTTCTGCAGGACGTGTTGAAGAGCTAGCTGAATTTTCTGTTGCAGTTTTTCAATTTTTACCTTTTCCTGCAGCCACGAGCGATCTAAACATGAAAAATGATACTTCTTAGTGTTTCTCTTATGTGGTATTGGGACACCCCAATTCCTCCGCACTCTTAGACACAGGTTATTATGCCACAATGGAGAATTAGAGAACAATAGGCCAGTTTTACTCCATGTTCAAAATTTGCTCCTAAAACAGTGGAAAACTGATCTACAATAGAGTGGTAAATCTTTCCATTTTTACTGACACTTAAAGGAGGGGAAAGTCCTCTCCTTCCAAAAGGATAGATATTTAAATCTACGGCCATACATAAGGGCAAATGAAACTACCACGGGTGCTCAAATCTTTCTAATAATTACATTTCTGGATGAAATACTCATAGCAATCCTGCTAGCCCTTCTGGCAAATATGAAAATTGCCTTAGAATCCAAGGCAACTAAGATTGTCAAGAGCATTCCAAATGATTTAAGGGTTGTTAATTCAGTCTTTATGTGTAAGAATTTCAAACAGAAGACAGTAAATTTGCAAAACAGAATATACCCAGGAGGCAGTACTGGTTGAAAACATAGCTTAAATTCGGATAAACTTGTGGATGACATCCAGATAAATCTTAAAAAAAAGTAGGATGTCTTAAAAACCATGTTGTCTTGGAGATATGAGTTAAGAAGGGCAACCCTACTCTACCAGAGCATTTCTCGTGATATCAGGAGGTTAACTATGGACTGGGTTTTACTCAATTCTCATTTCTTAAGATTTTGTCAGAATGGCATGAGGTTTTAAACAGGTAATGTGTGTGTGGGGGGGGCGTTTTTCTGTTTGATAAAACTTAAAATTAGATTTAATAAGGGTGGCAACCTCTCTTGGTAGGCACCTGAATGTTCTAGAGCCATTACAACTTATGTACCTTCTAAGAAATCTTTACCTGAACACTTTTTAAAGCATTGCATTGTTCTTTGGTTATCTTACCTGCTGACATTAGTACAAATGCAGAAAATAACGCAATTTCATCTTCAGTCAGGTGCATAGAACATAAACTCTTTCCAAATTCAAATACAAAGCTAATAAAGTCTTCACAACCTGCCAAGGTTAAAGACAGTTTAAGATTCTGGTTACTATTTTGGAGAAAAATATGGAATAAGGTGAAAAGGGATCTAGTAGTTGAAGATCTAAGAGGATAGTAATAACATTTCTACAGTTCAAGAGTTTAAAATCTTAAAAGAAAATCTGTCTAGCCATCATCACTATCACCACTGTCCTCACCATTCAAAATACTGAGAATGAACTTTTGTTGCAAGGTTAGCATGTTATTAGGTACCACTCTAAGAGGTTCCTTTGGGTACCATATTGCTCACAACAACTCTGCGAGGGAGGTATTATTATTATTATTATCCCATTTTAGAGGTGAGTAAACAGACCTGGAGAGAAAAATTACTTAAGTTTATACAGGTAGGAAGAAACAGCCTGATACTCAAAACCAGGCTGCCTGAGTTTAGGACCCGCAATCTTAAAAACAGAGTCGAGCAGCTACAATCCAACTGAAGCGTGACATTCACTGATTTTTTTGTTTTCTAACCTATTTGATCTAAGCCACTCTTAAAAATGAGAACAAATGACACAGTATGGTCATAAAATCATTACAGCTATTATAGAACTAAAAATGTAGAATGTGAAAGTCTTATTAATAATCCATTCTCAAAAGACTGGTTAAGCTTGGGGCCGCCTGGGTGGCTCAGTTGGTTAAGTGTCTGCTTCCAGCTCAGGTCATAACATCAGGGTGTGGGACTGACCCAAAAGTTGGGCTCCCTGCTCAGCAGGGAATCTTTTTCTCCCTCTCCTGCTGCTCCTGCCCCCTGCTCATACGCACTTTCTCTCTCTCCCTCTCTCAAATAAATAAATAAAATCTTAAAAAAAGAAAAAAAAAGGATTGGTTAAGTTTGGTATCTACTCTTTTAGATTTGCATATTATATATACCCATTTAAATGGTAATGAATTTTCCTAAAGTATACAGACCTTCTGTCATTTCATTGTTTTTATTTTTTTTTCTTTCTTTCTTTTTTTTTTATTTCATCGTTTTTAAAATCACTTAACTTTATCTTGGATACTGTTTCATTCTTCTTAGTGATTATATCCCACTTTATTTAAATTATAGAAATCCAAAATAATTTTTATAGTCTATGTCAGTTTCACTTAGCTATACTTTATTTCTTTGATATCTACATTTCATTCTTATTAATGGGTGTTATTTGAGAAGTACTCTTTGCTTGATTTTATGCATCAGATTACATCTTCTAGTTTCTCTGAATAATTTATCCAATGAAAATCTTTTTTTTAAAAGATTTTATTTGTTTTATTTTAAAGATTTTGTTTATTTGACAAAACAAAGATTATTATTTGTTTATTTGACAGACTGAGATCACAAGTAGGCAGAGAAAGAGAGAGGGGGAAGCAGGCTCCCTGCTGAGCAGAGAGCCCGATGCGGGCTCGATCCCAGGACCCTGGAATCATGACCTGAGCCGAAGGCAGAGGCTTTAACCCATTGAGCCACCCAGGTGCCCCTCCAATGAAAATCTTCTTAAAATCTGCAAGGGAACTAGAAGGTTAGACAATATAAATTTCTTCGATTACAGACTAGATAAAACAAAACGCTAAACCTTTCAATGTACTATAGACAAAAACCGTTTGAGCTGTGTGAATTTTCTGCAGTGACTATAAAGTAACATAAGCATAAAATCCTTTAATTTTTGTTTCCAAATAACAGTTTCCGTTCTGTTCAGTAAGCTCTTTGGCAGGGCTCCCACACTTTCCTACGGCCCTGATTTAAAGACAGAGCACCCAGATTTCCTTACCCAAGGATTTGAAGACATCGGGGCTAGCATATTTCCCATCAAAGTACACGGTGTTGTTCTGAGAGTCGAAGGCACGGCACATTCTGATAAACACCACCTCTAGAGAACCTAAGTGAAGACAGAAATGGTGTGGATTATCTTATCGTGGTAAATATTTATCTACTGTGAAAGCCCTAATATAGGGATGCCTTTCTGATTCAGTGCAGTGGGGGCTGTATGCCCTGTGGCCAGTGGCTCTCAGTCACATCAGCTCTCTATTTATTATTATTTTTTAAAGATTTTATTTATTCATTTGAGAGAGACAGAGAGAGTGAGACAGAGAACATGAGTGGGGTGAGGAGCAGAGGGAGAAGAGGGCTCCCCGCTGAGCAGGGAGCCCAATGCAGGGCTCAATCCTAGGACTCCAGGATCACGACCTGAGCTGAAGGCAGATGCCAACTGAATGAGCCACCTAGGTGCCCCTAAGCTCTCTCTTTAAAGGGGCACAGTTTACCAGCGTAATTAAAGATTTATGCTGAAGTGAACTATGGCCAAGCTAACTATGCCCTATATTTCTGAAGAGAGGCGGGGTTACAAATTACTCCTCTGGCATTCTTCTGTCTTGCAATAGAGTCTCAGGGTTGCCAAGGAAAACGTATTGATTCATATTTATGAAAACAAACCAGAGGGGGAGACAAACCATAAGAGACTCTTAATCACAGGAAACAAACTGAGGTTTGCTGAAGGGGAGGGCAGTGGGAGGGATAGGGTGGCTGGGTGATGGACATTGGGGAGGCTATGTGCTATGGTGAGCACTGTGAATTATGTAAGACTGATGATTCACAGACCTGTACCCCTGAAACAAATAATAGATTAGATGTTAATAAACATGCAAACAATAACATAAACAAACAAACCAAGAAATCAGGGGTGTCCCTTTGAGTTCCACAGAGAGCATTCCTAACAACTTACTGTTACCTCCCAAGGGTCTGGAGTGGGTGTCCTTCAAATTAATTGTTTCACTCAGAGGAGAAACAAAATGTTTCCCACAGATAGCTCAAAAACCATTAAAAAGGACTCAGTTGCTGCTAGAAGAAACCTGAGCTATTATCATTGGGGAAAAACTGTTCCCGACACCTTCCTTACCCAGCATTTCTTTAATAGGCGGCTGAAAGCAGGTTAGGAAGAGATCTCAAAATCCACTTGCAAAGCACATACCTGCTTTGAGAAGCACAATTTGATCATTTTGACACAGTTCCATAAATCCATCGATGCGTTTGGCAAACTCCACCACATACTGTATAGCTTCCGTGATTTTGATGGCACACAACTGCCACATCACCTCTCGCTGCTGCAGAGGAGCAAAGCACAGCAACACACACGGTCACCCGTATCCCAGACACAGGGGTTTTTAACTGCCCCTATTTTGTCAAAGCCTTCTTTGGAAATGGATTTTAAAAAGCTAGAGGATTAAAAATTAACATTTGGGTTATAATGATTGCTTCCGAGTCCCTTCTCGTCTCCTCTGATTCCTCTGTTACCATTTTGGTGGTAAAGGGACAGGGGGAAGATGTTAAAAGCAGGTGAAACTGTGAGTCTGAAAAGCAGCAGATGCCACTGCTTGACCCTTGGGCCTCGGAGAGTAGCACCGTAGGATCTTCTTGTGAGCAATTATTGTACCTTGGGGAACATAACACCATTTTACTGGGGGCAAGGTAGAGAAGGGGAGTCAATTACATTTATCGTGCACCTGCTTTGAGCTAGATGCTGTATGACATCCTTGTCTTGTTTCATTTTCCCATTTTCCATAAGTGGACGTAAATTCTCTTAGAGGTTTCACGGCTAGAAGGTGTCGGAGCCGGGATTCAAATCCTAGCATCTCTGACTCGGAATCCCATTTCACATGCCCTGCTGTTTCTTACTGCTTTCTCGTTTCCCTTTCTAACAATACAGGCTGGCTGCTGGTGTTACCTGCTATCTCAAAGGCAAAGTGATTCCTATCCTGTTTAATTGCTTTTGTATACCCACTTCCATTTAGTTATGGGGATATGGATCTTAATACTATTTCCAACAATATGATGGGGTGAAGGAAACACTGAATTAGGAGCCAGGAGTCATGATCTAGTCCTGGTATTTTCACTCTCCTGCCATACACCAAGGGATGCTAATATCCTCATATGTTAAATGAAGGGGAGGATTAGCCTGAAGAAACCCTGCCGCCCCTCCTAGGCCTACATCTCCTAGGCCTACATCTCTATAATATAACCACAGCATCTCCCTTTACCAAGGCAGAATGGGTAACTGAAACTTCCCGTTCTCCAGCCCCGCCCTCCCATGCTGGTGGCTTGTGGATCAGTGTGTAAAGAAAATGGCAAGGAGCAGCACCCTTTGTCAGTTGCACATTGCTAGGTTCAGACTGGAGTTATGAGAATAGCTTCCAAACCTTTTTCACACATCCTCTAAACCTCTGAGGCTGAGATTATTTTACGTCAACTTCCAGACCTTGAAATCTTCCACCGTGATATCAGGACAACTCTCAATTCATTCGGGCTTTTGGACACTGATTCCTCTACCCCCCATTGCCAAATGATAGGAGATACGTGTATATAGTCATCGGCCTGAGAGAATTTGTTTGTTATTGCTGAAATTTCACACACTTGCACCTCAGTAAGAAGACAAAGTCCCAAGTATATGATCATCTCTAAAAGAAAGATTTTAAACAGAAATCTGATATCTGATGAAAGACAGTCACTCTCTAGTCTGTATTCTTCAACAGATGGCCTGCATAAACACCCTTCCCACTCTTGCCTCAATCCTGGGTAAAAATCTTCAGAGTATATACCTTGTTTTGGTAGCTCTCGATCTCCTCCTGCAGAAAGGTCTGCCACGTTATCTGCTGGAGCTCTTCTCTCAAGTATTGGCAAGTTTCCAGATGTGATTTAGATATATTCTGTGCAAGGTGTTCTAAGGAGAAAACAGGAGATCATAAACATGAAAAACCAAGCTCTTCTCTGGATAATCAGGGTTTTTCCTGCTTAATATTTGCTTTAAAAAGTAACAAGTAAGAAAATAAAGTAAAAGTAAATAAAAAGTAACAAGTACAAAGCAACATGCTGAACCAGTTTCAATTATCTTTACATTTTTAAATAAGCAGTTTGGAACTATTCTATATTTTGGAACATGAAGATGAAGGACAGACAACGCCAATACTTAGCAATAAGTCTCGGTGACTTCAAAGACCCTCCTGACCTTGATCTTCTTTTGTGGCTTTACACCAATGTCTGCGAATGAACAATTATTAGCCCAGATAGGTGTGGGAAATGACCAACACAGCCTATTCTTGGCATTTTTATGAAGAGACATTGACCTGGGGAGGATTACTCTTGAAAAATTAGGAAATGGTATGCTTTTGTGAAAACAACTGTTATTTCTTTTATTTTTCCAGCAAATAGTACAACAAGCATTACTGAGGGCCTATTATGTCACTATATATAGGGTGGTGGTTAAGAGATGGACTCTGGCACCAGACAGCCAGTGTATGAAACTCAGCTCTTGTACCTACCAGTTGTATGAACTTGGGTATGTTACTCAGCCTCTCTGTGCTTTGGTTTCCTCACTTGCAAAATAAGGGAAACAGTACCTACTTCATAGGCCTGGTGAGAATTAAATGAGTGGAGCGCTTAGAAGAGTGAGGGTTACCTAGTACACACTACGTAAACATTTGTTCTTATTATGCTGGAACGTAGGTAGTTTGAGGATATTAAACAAACAGATGCCTAAGAAGTTTCTCTAGGAACTTATAATCTGATGAACATGTATGGGAACACTGAAAGGACAATTCAAGACATTAGACAATAAAGCATCAACTTGAATTACATCAGAAGAGAAAATAGAGAACAGGTTCTGTCATGGAAGGGAAAGATGAAGAGAATTAGAGGATGCTTCTTGGCAGGAGAGAAACATCTGAAGTGGACCCTGAAGTAAAGGGAGGATTTGGCAGGCAGAGGACAGCGGTGTGAAGAGGCGAGCTGGTTCCACATTCCAGGGATGATAGATGAAGGAGCAAATAATGGCATTTACAGGGGACAGGCAGATGTGTGATAAAGTGATAGCACCCAAACAGAAGCATGAGTAGGTAAGGGTCCACATTCTGGAGAATCTCAAATATTAGGATTAAGGTTTGGACCTGCTTAAGGAGTCCGTGGAATTCTCTAGGGGGAGCTGGCACACGGAAGGCTGTATGTGGGGCAACAGAACAAGCAGTTTTGTGACTGGTGGACTGGAGCAGAGGCTGGAGCTGGGAGCACCAGCGAAAGGCTGCTGCAACCCGTGTGGGCGGGACTAAGCGCTTTAGGTAGGTCAGTAATAAACGTTACGGAAGGGAAGGACAATGCAAGTATTTTAAGGGGAACTGACAGGATTCCATGAATATGAAACCATATCCCAAAGGGATCTTCTTCTAGGGTCCTGATTACATAACAGGAAAACCCATTTAAAAGAATGGTGCTAAATGAAAACTTGGCAACACTAGTAAGAGGGTCTGTTTGGAACTGTGTCACTGCTTTCGGCAACCAGATTCAGACTTGTTTGTGTGAAAACAGAGTGGGTTCACCTAAATGAAACTTGAAACTAGAGTCTCCTTACAGACACTGAAACACAATAAATCTTAACAGCCCTATTTGGCAGCACACAGACATGAACACAATATAAATAAATACCAGGAAAATAAAACACAAACAGAAGAAAAAAATTAAAGGAAAGAAAGAAACAGAAAGACAGTGACCAAAAGAGGGAGAAGCCAGCAATTTATGTGTCTTAGAAACAGTGATGCTTGTGGAGAGAAGAGGGCAGTAAAGACGAAAACAATGAGTCAGAATCAGGGAAACAAATGTGTATATAGTAAACCAATTTTTGCAGACACGAAATAAAATGGAGATGAAGTGTTTGTAGGGAAGCTGGGGGATCCTATGAGGTGACGAATGGTAAGAAGCACATAGTATTCCCTTCCAGATCATGCTTCTTTTCCAGTTAATATGGTCAGCATCTTACTTCATCTTAAAAAATTGTTCCCACCCACCCCTACCTATTTGAGCCCACCTTTGGGCAGACAGACAAGGAATAGCGTAATGTACATGTCAAACCAGTAGAGGGCAGTGGCTGCATTCTCACCAACCGCCTTTGATTACAATTCACAGTTGATTTGGCAAGTGTAAGATTTCAGACACTTTACTATTTTTAAATCTCCATTTCAGCAAAGGACAATATGGTCAGACTGAGCAAAAGTTAAGTTAGTGTGGTCTCTTAGAGAAACACTCTGGAATAGTGAAATACCGTGGAACTAGGAGTTAGGAGACCTGGTTTCTGGTCTGTGCTCAGCAGATAAACTCACTTTGCGATGGACAAATCAGTTCATCTTCCCAACCATGATTGTTTCTTTAATACAGCTAAGGTCTAGGTACTTCAGATGGAATTTCCTGACTTCTGAGTTAGTCACAGATTTTCACAGTGGAAAGGAACTTTAGATGGTCCAGCCTCTCCTCAGTTTATAGACAGTAACACCATTAACAATGTTTAATAGCATTTACTATGTGCTAGCCCCATATAACTTATATATATGTATATATACGTATATATCTATATACATATATTCTGAATATGTATATTTTATTCATCTTCATAACAATTCTAGGAGGAAAGTGGTATTATCTCCCTTTTACAGATGATGAAACCAAGTGAGATTAAGTGACTTTTTCAAGGTATAATAGCAGGCAACTGGCAAGCGATTGAAACATACATAATTTGGTGCCAGTCTGTTCTTCATCATTATATTCTGTAAGTAGGGAAACTGCAGCTTGCAGAGGTACATGACTTATAGTGGGTTACACAACCTATAGCAAACCTAGGACCACAAAACATATAAGCTGACTTCTTGACTAGTGCTTTGTCCAATAATCACTTGACTCTTCTGCAAAAGGCTTTAGTTATCAATTATAGTGACATGTGCAGTTAGCTTTATTTTTTAAGTGAACCCAGATTGTTTATCTGGAATGTATATTTCTGGTACTAATTGTACCTTAAGGGCAAAATTTCCTAGCCAGGAATGCAGATGTATTGCCACTAAAAGTAATGGATTGTAGACACTATTATTGAAAGAGAGAATTGAGGTTAAGATATGTCAATTTACAATTTATTTTCCAACTGTATAATTGGTTTCATTGGTTTAAAATCTGATGACAAAATTTTGCCTAAAATGAAGTCAACGGCGTTAGTTAAAAAGACAGTAAGACTGGAATCACTATATTGTTCACCTGAAACTAATAAAACTCTGTATGTTAACTATACTGGAATTGGGGGAAAAAAAATAGCAGGATTTGAGGCCCCAAAGGAAATACTAGGGAACCCCAGATGGCTTTGAAGGACCAGCAACATCTTTGGCCACCTCTATGTTGCTCAATTCCTCCAAATATTTTGTACAGGTAAATGGGAAAGAAAATTAGAATCCAATTATATTCTTTTTAGACAAATTCTTATTTAGTTTTGGGCTTGGGACTAATCCCAGTGATGAATTAATTTTACTGATCCAGAAAAATGCCAAAAGACATGTAAAAAGCTCCCAATTTAGGAGAGCATGGAGAACATTTGAGGGCACAGGGCTCCCAGACTGCAGTGGGAGATGTGGAACAGACACTGACCAGACGGCCCAAGGCGCATTGGCTTTTCCATTTCTGGACCCACTCAAGTGTTAGTGCACGCTTAGCCAAAGGGCCATATTTAAGGGCAATGCTTTGGCTAAGCCCTATGGATTTATTTTGGGGTTGAACGTTTGACAAGCAAACAGGACAGATTTGCTAGTATTTATGATAAGGTGGAAGCAAACTGAAAGTGAGCCAGGTCATTTTTCATGATATCATGTCAGCTTTCAATCAAATCCTTACTCATTTCTGAAAATTTTACTTTCATTACAGTTCTGCTTAAGTCGCGGCCAACCAAGATTTCATGACAAAAACGGAAGGTTTTTGTTCTAGTTCAAGAAAAAAATATCAAACCTACCTCTGCTCAGCTTGGCTTCTAGTTCAGAGGTTCCTCTGTTAATCAAAAGAGCCGAAATCCACCTTTAATGCTGTTCAGTGGTTAAAGACCAAGCTTAAAATGTCCCTGCTCTTGAGGATTTAAATTTAGACCCATAAAGAGGTACTTGTGTAAAAACCGTCAAGAACATTCAATTTGTTCTATTTGGAGAAAGATTTTACTGGAAATATAAATTTCACTTAAAAAATGTTTTATGGAGTACAGAGGTGGAGAAACCATCTAAAGAACACAACTGTTATTTCTGTGAACTAAGGGTGTCTGTGCTCAAGTCAGAACCTGCTGATTCTTTTCCATCTGAAGTCTTCATTCTCTCCTCGTGTTAAGTTAGTCACCTCCACAGCAACTAATTGAAATATCCCAAAGGACTATAACTTTGTGTGAGGAGTCACGGGGAGGAGCACGTCAAATTTGAACACTGCAAAGTTTCTTATCCAAGTTTCTCTAATAATAGTGTTGTACCTAAAAACCGATCAAATGTTGTAACAGGGGTTGCTAACACAACTTCCTGGAAATGGCAAGTCTTCCAGTGTCTGTGTTCTACCAACATTTCTAGGTCACATCTCCCAAAAAGCAACAATGTCACACAGGATTAAGGAGATGTCAGATTTGTTTGTTTTTGCCTGGTGAGTTTTCTATGAACTCTATCAGTTTTGTTACCAATATCCATCACCAGACCATTTTGGAAAATAAAGAAGCCAATTTCCCTTTAACATTCATAGAATACATCAGGGTTGGAAAAAATCTACAGGAGCTAGGCAGCGATATAAAATGGGAAGACATGTCAAGGTGTTAGGGCTTTACTGTGCCAATTGGTTGTTGCCATTCACCAGTGCTGGTCCAGTATAACTAGGTCATTTTCCCCTTCTCACAAGAAGCTGAAAATCTGAACTCTGAGGCAGGACTGTCTAGGTTTAAGACTTTAGCAACCAGTTCAAAAATGTTTAAAACTCTGCATGGGTCCAAAACTGTGTATGGTCCAGGCCCAGTGGGTGGGCTGCCATTTCTATGACTTCAGGTGTAAAGCAACACCTGGACAATAACTAAAGGAAATAATGAACAAAGTTAATGGGGCCATTCCCTGAGTTTACAGTTTCTGTGGCATTTAAAGACTGCTTCAAGGGGCGCCTGGGTGGCTCAGTGGGTTAAAGCCTCTGCCTTCAGCTCAGATCATGATCCCAGGGTCCTGGGATCGAGCCTCGCATCGGGCTCTTCACTCAGTGGGGAGCCTGCTTCCTCCTCTCTCTCTGCCTGCCTCTCTGCCTACTTGTGATCTCTCTGTTTGTCAAACAAATAAATAAATAATCTTTAAAAAAAAAAAATAAAGACTGCTTCAAGCTCACGCTGCCCCATCTCTGATACGGACAGGTCAACGTGTTTCCTGGTGTGTGACGGGAAACAGAGGACAATCGAAAGCGAGGGGGCAGGGTGGAACTTTGAAGGGGTCCAAATAGTAGAGGTGTATCATTCTAATAATGTAACTCATTAGAGGAAAGTCAAACACATCCCATTTACTTGAAAGGGCGAAGAGACACGTCCTAATGGACACATGGAGGCCATTACCTAATTCTGCCATGGACACAGTTGGGGACGTCTCTCCGTTGGTGAAAGAACAGTAGGGAAAGAAGCCTGATGCTGGTGTGTAGTCACATATTGGTTCTGGTTTGATTCCATTGATATCAAGACCTGACTGGTCTGGGGAAGGCTGTATGTCCAGGTAGAAGCTGCTGACAGCAGAGTCTGCCTTGCTTCCCTCTGGGGTGTGCCCGTCGATGTAGTTGCTGAGGTCCTCGTGAAGCTCGGTGAGCCCGTTGGCCGAGATGTTGTAGGTGGGAGTCAGCGGCTCGGCCTCTCCAGGCTGCTGTTGGTGGTCTCGCTGCTGCTGCTGCATCCGGTGTTTTTGTACTTCTGCGTACAAGCTGTCTCTTTGCTTTTTTGACATCCGGCCAAATTTTACAGCTGGAAGAGAAAAGCCAGACCACACCATATACAATATGCTTTTCTTTATTATTCTCTCCAGCATGCGTTGGGGGTTCCTTTTAAGTCTCAGACAATCTCAATCAAAAACCACATCGCCACAAAAATAAGGACATGATCCAGAGGTGAAAACGGTCCCACCCCACACAGGCTTGCTCCACATCCCAGAGGAGCTATGTTTCAGAAACAGACCCAGGACTGGTACAAGGGCAATGACCACGTATGTCTTCCTGCTGTCACATAACCCGACGCTCGGCGGGAACCACTGATGTGTGACTTGATGGACTTGTGTGTTCTCCGCCCATGCCGCTTGCCTTGACCACCTCTTTCTCTTCCCAGGGTTCAGACTAATGTGCAGGGATGCAGACTCACGGGGGTACACTGAGGCACAAGCAGCCGAACCTCAACTTCCATTCATTTCATTCATTCATTGTTCCCTCCTAATCAAACAGTCAAATCTGGAGCTTTGCTGTGAGACCTCAGCAATGAGGGCCCTTTGCAATTCCCTGACTTTTATCTCTGAGTCTACATGACATAAGAATCCCCTGCTTTCCTCCTCCTGGGTCACAGTGAACCCTGTGGAACCCTCAGACCCACCTTTAAGTGACTTTCTGCTCTTCTCATTTACCCTCAAGTAAACAGAGTATCAGAATTTGGGGAAGAGCAAACACTGTGTAAATTTCCCTGTTGGGCAAATTTGTATTCTCAGTGTTTCTCCTTGTGATGTGTCCCCATATTTAAAGTGGAACAATGAGTGTAGTACCTTTACTGTTCATTCAGAATCCCAAATGCTCTCTCCTAAAACGTGAGATAATTGATAAAAGAACCTTATGATTTCCTGGTCTGAACTCTCCCACTAACCCATGGTCTCTCAGCCCAATTCTCTGTATGCAGATAAAGCCTCAGCTGGAAGGACGAAGACCCCCTAATTGATTATGGTCAAATTTATACCTGACTGGGTGGATGAACTCATCTATTTGACCATCATTATAATTCTATGAGTCTAGGGGCAGGAGGCCAAGAGAGATGGAAGTTGGGAACCAGAGACAACCACCTGGGAGATTTGTGTCCTGCCAAGGAGAACGTGCTGTCCCTTTACACACAGGAAACATATGAGTGGGATCCTGATCAATTTCCAGAGTCCACAGCTTGGGTAACAAACTTGGGGCTTAGGCAGCAATCAGACCGCTCTGAGCTCGGATTTCAGGCCTGTCGTTGTACAAGACCCAACATTCACATCAAGCCCATAACATGCCTTGCTACCTATGCGCAAAATCTCCAAGAGGCATACTGACGGTACCCCCCCCTTTTTTTTAAAGACTATTCCAGAACTCCCACAGGGATTGACAACCATAGGTGAAACTCATTCTGCTAATACTTTGAGTTGTGTTTTAACTCTTGCCTTAATATCAACAAGAGTAATTATACTATACTGTAAATGAAATGAGAGGATCAGTTCTTGAGAAAACACACACACAACTAAAAACACACACACAACCAAAAACACACACACAACTAAAAACACACACGCAACTTGTGACCTTAGCATATAAGTTCATATATAAGAGATATGCCTGATTTTGTTGGTTTAGTGCCTCTGAAAGATGAAATCCACTGAACTGCCTATCGCGGGCATTTCTGAGTACATAAGTCCTGTGACTTGCATCTTCCAATGCCCCAAACTTAATTTTTGTTCCTACATATTCTTAGTGGCCATCCCGTGCATCGCTACTGACATATATCACAGCTCGTGCCTGGGCTGGTCTACAGGCCCCAAGAACATCTGATCATGGGGAAGGCAGGCTTTCAGAACGCCTGCCCAGCATTCTGAAATATTTTCCACAGGCTGAGATTCCACTGGAAGAGATGTTTCCTTCAAGGGGATCTCTTAAGAGAGCCAGCATGTATGTTCGTAAAAGTCCTAAAATGTACCCACTATACTTTCTGCCCAGTTTCCTTGTATAAGAGTAACTGTCTTGAAATCTGGTGTTGATTATTCCGCGCACTTAAGATAGTTTTCCAGGAAGATCTTGAAATGTTTGGCAATTGCACGATAGATGGCCTCTATTTCTTTAAATAGCTTCTTTTAGGAAAAGAACATTTGTCTTTGAGCCATGATTTGCACTGTTTTCACACATTCTGTATGTACAAGTATGGGACTTTCTCTTTTGTTTTGAGACATATTTTGATTTGCCATTTGATTTCTTGTCTGGTCCACTGCTTGTACAGTACTGTGTTGTGTAGTTTTTACATATTAATTATTTAATATATACATTGTGGATTTCCCAGCTCTGTTTTATTGTTGTTCTTTAGTTTTGTACCATTATGGTTGGAAAATATGCTTAGTGTGATTTCAATTTGTGATACTCGTTATGTCTCCTTTTATATGACTCAACCAGGGGATTTGTCTGCGTGTACTTGAGGAAAATGTGTACTCTATTTTTCTTGGATGGAATGTCTTACATATATCCTATAGAACTGTGTATTCTGAAGTTTGCCCTAAGTAAAAAATGTTCTTGTCGGAGAAGGCAATAATAACTTTAACTGAGGGTACCCTTTTAAAATAAAGCATATCAGAGAGGAGGAGGGCTGGGAGATGGGTGAAATAGTCAGTGGGCCTTAAGGAGTGTATGGGAATGTCACAACCCTGTATTGTAAACCTGAAATTAATATAACACTGTATGTTAACTACACTGGAATTAAAATTGAATAACGTAATAAAAAATTTAAAGAAAACCCCCAAATACATGATTTTGATTTGTGATTCAAACTATCCAGTTACCATAAAAACTAATTCATTCCAACTACCAATAAGCTTTACTAGTTAGTGTAAAGCACTAACAATTAGCCTTAACAGTTAGCTCTGGCTTGTGTTTCTTACTGGGGACAATGTCTGTAAGAGGTATATTTATTAAGGCCCTCCGAGGACATGTCCCTTCAATCAATTCATCAACCTGTAACATCTTAAACGTCTAAAATAGGAAGGTGTTCTGACCACACGGGTGCTTCTCTGCCATGCCACCCCCAACCCCAGTGGGCTCCAGTGCACTACTGAGGAGAAAGTAACTGTTGTGGGTCCCACAAGGCCTCCAGAGGTGAGGTGGAGTGGGGGAGAGGCAGGTCTGGGTCCAGGGCTCGGAAGGCACTTTCGCAAGCCCATGCTACTGTACAACTCAAACTGCGAGTGCTCACCATCTCGAGACATGCCTACGGCCAGGCATTTCTGTAACCGACAGTGCTGGCAACGGTTTCTACTGGTTCGATCAATCAAACAGTTCTTCTGACGCGGACAGGAGTAGGTGGCATTGCTCTGCTGACTTCTCCTGAAAAAGCCCTGTGATTCAGTTATAAAATATAAAACAGGTTAGTGTCAGTGTGAGCTGTATGATACTAAAGGCAGTACACTAAGCACTGAACGGCATTGATGCTTAATGGAGAATTAAAAAGTCATGGCAGAGATCATCCAGGAGACCACTAATGACATTGAAGCCACTTCTTTTTCTTGGGCAAAATTGATCTCTAGAGCCTAATCCTCTGTCCCGTACACATGTGAAACTTTCTTTAACTCCAACAGATGGCTGCCTGTGTGATTAGGCCCTGTTCTTGACTTCTGCTAAGCAAACCATGTGCTTGATGGATTGGTACAAAGGCACTTATCTTTAATCTTTATCTCCAAAATATTTTTAGTGGAATAAACAAAACATTTCTCTGGAATACCCAGAGGTATGGAAAATCCTGCCTCAGTATAACTCATGATGGCTGCAATCCTGATATCCTGGGCTATCTCTCCTAACCCACTGAACTCTGTCTACCACACTCCACACATCTTGCATTCCCTGAGACAGACTCTCCTGCCCCAAGAACTTAAATGACACTTGGATGGATTATCTTGGCAGATAAATCAGAATGGGAATACTCGTCCACCCTTGAGTTCAGAGTCATAGTCTTTAACAAATCCAATCCCATGTTCATCGAGTTCCATTTCCTTGCCTTTTTGTTGTTGTTGTTGTTTGTTTTAAATTAAGATTTACTGGGAGCACCGGGTAGCTCAGTTGTTAAGCATCTGCCTTTGGCTCAGGTCATGATCCCAGGGTCCTGGGATCCAGCCCCATGTCGGGCTCCCTGCTTGGCAAGAAGTCCGCTTTTTCCTCTCCTACCCCTCTGCTTGTGTTCCCTCTCTTGCTGTCTCTCTCTCTCTCTGTCAAATAAATAAATAAATAAATAAATAAATAAATAAATAAATAAATAAATAAA